AATAAAAAAATAAAATAAAATTGTGTCCCATTAAGCCCCCGTTTGAACCCCATTATTTCTCATTACATTAAATTAAATTTTTCGCTCTCCTACTTTTAACCACATAATTTTCAATAAAATACTATTACACGTAAATCAAAAAAATTTCAACCACTCATTTATAAAAAAAAAAAAAAACACACTATTCATCTTATTATAATCTATAAATAATGGGGCCCAAACGGCCCCTAAATGACAAGATTTCTATTCTATTAATAGGTGCCAATTACCATCCATCTTCACATCCCCTCTCTGTGTGTCTCCTCAACTAATTAATTAATTAAAATGGAGATACTGAAAACAGCAATTTCAGTGGTGACAATCATCATTTTCACAGCGGCATGGAGGATTTTGAAGTGGTTATGGCTGGATCCAAAGAAGAAAGAGAGGATTTTGAGGCAACAAGGATTCAAGGGGAATCCTTACACTTTCAGAAGGCTTTTGTTTGGAGATGAAAAGGAGATTCAAAAGATTCATGCAGAAGCCTGGTCAAAACCTGTTAATATTCGTGATGAAGTTCAAACTGGAAAACGTGCTGCGCCCTTCATCTTTAGAACCTATGAAAAATACGGTGATCTTTCTATCTCTTCAATTCAATTCAGACAATTACTAATTGGTGTAGGTATTGCTTCTCTTCTCTGTCTAAAAATTAAGCAATTTATTTATGAATTTGGCAGGTAAAAAGGCATTTGTGTGGGCAGGACTGAGACCCAAGGTGTTTATAATGGAACCTGATCATATGAAAACTATCTTTTTTAACCACAGTACCTTCCAAAAGAATTTCAAGGTTACCAATAGTGTTGTGCAAGAACTTATCACTGGAATTATTCGCTTTGAAGGAGAGGAATGGTCCAAAAGAAGAACTATTATGAGCCCCAAATTTCAATTAGAAAAGTTGAAGGTAAAATCTAATGTTTTTGTTCTTCTCTTTGGATAATTGCATATAATTAATTAATTTTTTGGTGTATTTTGCAGCAAATGATACCCCTAGTTCTGAAATGCAGCGATCAAGTTATAATTGAATGGAAGAAGTTGGTATCCAACTCCAAGGATGGGTCCTATACTCTAGACGTTTGTCATGATATTGAAGAATTGATCTCAGGCGTTACTTCTCAGTTTCTGTTTGGGATTGATTATGCAAAGGACAAAGAAATCTTCCATCTTATTACCCAATTGTCTGAATTGACCAAACAAGCCACTAAGGTTTCTAATTTACCCGGATCAAAGTAAGTTTGTTTTCAAATTATACATTGTGAAAAATTAATTAGTTTCTTTCTTTCTTTCTTTCTTCCTTCATAATACGATGAATTATTTGGACTACAGGTTCTTGCCAACGGAGACAAATCGAAAGTCTAAAAGACTCACCAAGGAACTACATCAAAGACTTTATAAATTGATGTGTGAAAGAAAAAAGGCAATAAAGGAAGGCAAAGTTGTGGAGGACAACGTATTTAATATGTTACTGGAATCTGAAATCGCAAATAATCAAGATGAAATGATCGGTCATATGAAGGGATTCGTGTTTAATTCGCATGACACCACTGCATTTGTTCTTGTTTGGAATTTGATTTTACTTTGCATCTATTCAGAATGGCAGGATCGTGCTAGAGAAGAAGTTTTCAGGGTCTTTGGAAATCGTAGACCGGATTATGAAGGGTTAAGTCAACTCAAAGTCGTAAGTATACTTCCATTCTTTAACGAATGAAAAAACATTATCTGAAAGCTGTCTTCCTGGAACAAAAATGCACATATTTTCCATCTTTAACACACAACCAATGAATAGACAGTAACCAGGATTAAATATCAGCAAGAGAGGCTCTTTAGTTATATAGTCATTCAATTTTTCAAATAAGCGAGAAACTTATTATTAATATCTTTTCCTACTTTGCAGTTACCTATGTTTATGAATGAGGTATTAAGGTTGTACCCGCCACTGGTTGAGCTATCTAGATTTCTTGAAGAAGAGATCAAATTAGGAGAATACACATTACCAGCTGATATACAAGTCATTATGCCCACAATTTTAGTTCATCGTGATCCTGAATTCTGGGGTGAAGATGCAAACGAGTTTAAGCCAGAAAGATTCGCCGAAGGAGTGCTAAAAGCAACCAATGGGCAAGCTGTATTTTTCCCCTTTGCCTGGGGACCCCGTATCTGCATTGGTTATAACATGGCATTGTTGCAAGTTAAATTAGTATTGGCAGACCTTTTGCGCAATTTCTCGTTTGAGATTTCACCTACTTATGAACACGCTCCACGTGTGGTTTTCACCCAACAACCTCAATATGGAGCTCCCATCATTCTGCGTAACCTCAACTGAAGTCTCCAATAATTAAATCTACTTATCGTATGTTGTTATGCATTCTCTCTGTCGTCATTCAATAAACATTGAGTTGTGTTCTGTTTCGTTAACTTCTATATTAATTCCTCCTGCAATGGAATGTTTTCTACTTTGTTTTGGTACTAGTGGAGCTCCGTGTTGTAATAAATTAGAATTGTAATAATATCATTTGATCTGGTTTAGTACGATAGCTATATTCATAAAACAATTATATACTGAAACCATAAGTTGGATTCAATAGCTATTATTTATGTTGTATGGAAGTTTCGAGAAATCTTGAATCCGACCTCGTAAAAATCATCAACCCAACACCACCTAGCATCGGCTCAACCCACACCCTTCCTTCACTTTGATTGCCTCAAGTTTTCTCGCTCACAAAAGATAACAGTGGTGGTGACTACAATACAAACGAAAGGATGAAGCAACACTGATTGAATCTCTCAAGAAATCACCCCAAAACCGGTTGCCCCCTTCACTCCTCTCTCAATAGCACGCACACGACCCCACCACCTCTAGAAGAAATGGTCACATATAAAGGACTCACCAACTTGGGCCAAATTTCATTAAACGTGCTATCACTTACATACCAATAAATGGGCTTTCATATCACCATCCAACTAAACCAATAAATCCAACTACAATTCGGGCCATCCAAAAGTGTAGGTCATTTCTGGGTTGAGCCTAATCTATAGTGTCAATAAATTATTCGACATTTGTTTTAAATTATAGCTCAGATTTATTAGGTTATCAAAACCTAACAAATCTTAACATTGATACCTAATTCACCTGTAAGTAAACAAAATACAAAGTTTATGCATGCATAATCAAGGTAACAAAATAAATTGTTATCACTGACCATACCTCATGTCCCGGACCCTAAGCCTACAACATACTTGTTCCATATACTCACCATGACTAAGATCAAAAAACACCCAAGTAGAAGTAAGTAATCAATCAAGAGTATATAAACATGCGATGAATATAAAACATAGAATAACACAGACTTTTCAAAACATGTTCACAAAGAACCTCGGATTAATACCACGTTAATTAATCAAATGGCCACACTTACGCAACAAATGCATAAATGGCATAAAAAAAAAAGATCTTACCACACTTATCCTATCTTATTCCGTGTAGGTTGAATATCGAGAATGCATATCTCCTCTTATTGCTCCACCGTGCTCACTAGATTGGTCACTAACGCATGTCTAACTAGTAAACCACTATAGATCCCAAGTCTATGAGATAGTTCTCTATCTCTACCTCCTTTCTCTCAACTCAAGTAGATATTGGATCTCCACCTAATAGAAGTGACATAAGTGTCTCTCTCACACTCTATCTGATCAAGATCTTCATAGAGAAGATTCCAACATTTAATCACTCTCTACTTGTGATCCAAATGTCCTACTTCACATCCCTCAGTATATAGCACCAATGCACACTCGGCATCAATAATCTACATTAGCAGGAGACATACTCATTGCTAATGCATCTCAAACTCACTATGGCAAATCGACACCTTTGAATGAGGTATTAAGGTTGTACCCGCCACTGGTTGAGCTATCTAGATTTCTTGAAGAAGAGATCAAATTAGGAGAATACACATTACCAGCTGATATACAAGTCATTATGCCCACAATTTTAGTTCATCGTGATCCTGAATTCTGGGGTGAAGATGCAAACGAGTTTAAGCCAGAAAGATTCGCCGAAGGAGTGCTAAAAGCAACCAATGGGCAAGCTGTCTTTTTCCCCTTTGCCTGGGGACCCCGTATCTGCATTGGTTATAACATGGCATTGTTGCAAGTTAAATTAGTATTGGCAGACCTTTTGCGCAATTTCTCGTTTGAGATTTCACCTACTTATGAACACGCTCCACGTGTGGTTTTCACCCAACAACCTCAATATGGAGCTCCCATCATTCTGCGTAACCTCAACTGAAGTCTCCAATAATTAAATCTACTTATCGTATGTTGTTATGCATTCTCTCTGTCGTCATTCAATAAACATTGAGTTGTGTTCTGTTTCGTTAACTTCTATATTAATTCCTCCTGTAATGGAATGTTTTCTACTTTGTTTTGGTACTAGTGGAGCTCCGTGTTGTAATAAATTAGAATTGTAATAATATCATTTGATCTGGTTTAGTACGATAGCTATATTCATAAAACAATTATATACTGAAACCATAAGTTGGATTCAATAGCTATTATTTATGTTGTATGGAAGTTTCGAGAAATCTTGAATCCGACCTCGTAAAAATCATCAACCCAACACCACCTAGCATCGGCTCAACCCACACCCTTCCTTCACTTTGATTGCCTCAAGTTTTCTCGCTCACAAAAGATAACAGTGGTGGTGACTACAATACAGACGAAAGGATGAAGCAACACTGATTGAATCTCTCAAGAAATCACCCCAAAACCGGTTGCCCCCTTCACTCCTCTCTCAATAGCACGCACACGACCCCACCACCTCTAGAAGAAATGGTCACATATAAAGGACTCACCAACTTGGGCCAAATTTCATTAAACGTGCTATCACTTACATACCAATAAATGGGCTTTCATATCACCATCCAACTAAACCAATAAATCCAACTACAATTTGGGCCATCCAAAAGTGTAGGTCATTTCCGGGTTGAGCCTAATCTATAGTGTCAATAAATTATTCGACATTTGTTTTAAATTATCGCTCAGATTTATTAGGTTATCAAAACCTAACAAATCTTAACATTGATACCTAATTCACCTGTAAGTAAACAAAATACAAAGTTTCTGCATGCATAATCAAGGTAACAAAATAAATTGTTATCGCTGACCATACCTCATGTCCCGGACCCTAAGCCTACAACATACTTGTTCCATATACTCACCATGACTAAGATCAAAAAACACCCAAGTAGAAGTAAGTAATCAATCAAGAGTATATAAACATGCGATGAATATAAAACATAGAATAACACAGACTTTTCAAAACATGTTCACAAAGAACCTCGGATTAATACCACGTTAATTAATCAAATGGCCACACTTACGCAACAAATGCATAAATGGCATAAAAAAAAATAGATCTTACCACACTTATCCTATCTTATTCCGTGTAGCTTGCATATCGAGAATGCATATCTCCTCTTATTGCTCCACCGTGCTCGCTAGATTGGTCACTAACGCATGTCTAACTAGTAAACCACTATAGATCCCAAGTCTATGAGATAGTTCTCTATCTCTACCTCCTTTCTCTCAACTCAAGCAGATATTGGATCTCCACCTAATAGAAGTGACATAAGTGTCTCTCTCACACTCTATCTGATCAAGATCTTCATAGAGAAGATTCCAACATTTAATCACTCTCTACTTGTGATCCAAATGCCCTACTTCACATCTCTCAGTATATAGCACCAATGCACACTTGGCATCAATAATCTACATTAGCAGGAGACATACTCATTGCTAATGCATCTCAAACTCACTATGGCAAATCGACAACTTTGGTAACCACAAAGGTTAGAGCTCAGTTTAAATCAACATACACACCACAAGGTTACTCCAACATCGATGCTAAAAAAAAGTCCACGAAGGATTTATCTCACAAAGGGAATGGTGAAGATGGCACTCACAAAGAGAATAGATAAAGAATTGGTTACTTCACTACACTCACAAAAGGGGGCTCACAAACAGAAATAAGATAATCCTTGCATGGCTATCTCACATTCTCACAAACCACATAGGCTCACAAAAATAAATGAAAAAATGTGTTTGGACAAAACTCGCAAACATATGAGATCATTGTACAAATAATAAGATTTGTGAGTTAAGAGTATTGTTCCTATGAGAAATAAGGCCTAATGTGTAGTTCAATAGCTACTATTAAATTCTAAGTGTGATGATATCAAAAGAGATGGTTCGTATGTTTTCTATACTAATCCTAACTAAGAAAGCAAATAAAGTATTATCTAAAATGTGAATGTTTGTATTGAAATCGTGAATCCCCTTATTACCATTTCATTCAATTCTTAATTCGTAATTTAGTAAATTCATGCATTCAAGACAATCGATAATTCATTTTTATTCAATATTCTTTTTTCAAGATATATGAAACCTATGTTTAACATGATCTGATCCTATTCCTAGTCCAAATTTATATAAAAAAAATTTATTAATTCACAGGATTTATCACATATGATTCAACATGCTATAGATATTATTCCTAATAAATATTGTCCATGTGTTGATTTTGCCGCATTTTAAACTTATTGTAAGTATTTTTACACCATAACAAGTAACATAATATTTAATTGGTGATCAAACAATCAAATAGTTAAATGAGAATGCAAAACGTTTATTAATAAAAATCAAGAAATACTGAACTAATTGTTTTGAATTAAAAGAAACAAATAATAGGATTTATCATTCATCCAATACAAAGGAAAAACATAGTCAATCATCCTAATTATTAAATTATATAAGAAATAATGAAAATACATCACTCGGTTAAAATAATATGGAAAAAAGGTGGAGAAATCTCGATTTTGGATGGATAATCTTTAAAAATCTTGCACAATAACCTTGGTGTTGATGATCTAGCCTCTTTCTTCACATCCAAAATACACAAAATATAGATTTTTCAGGCTTTGGAGGTTTCCCACATTCTTGGTGGATTAGTATTTAAAGGATGCCCAAAAGATTGTTACCAACTAGAGTTTCAATTGGAAAAAAAAATAAAATCTTGCCTCAAATAGTACCACGTGGTCGCATAGTACATATGGAAGTGACAATATAGAAGAAATCATAGCTGATCCTGGGAGCTTTGGAGGCATACATGCGGTCGCATCTAATTAAATCTATGCAGCGCATGGTATAATTTTTTCTGCCAGACATCTTTCAGTATTTTGATCATATATTTCTCTCTCGATATCCTATTAAAGTGATTCAAAGTGTGTTGGAAAGATAACTCAAATAGATACAATTTAGAAGAGATTTCATTTTTCCAATTTGAAAGTTTGTTATGCCAAAAAATGGGTATGAAATTGAGACTAAAAATTTGACATAACTTTTTTCGCTTGAAAGTTGATATGCTATATTGTTTTGGCTATATTTAATCATTTTGAATACCTTTCTCATTTGAGTGATTCTTAACACTCTCAAATCTTCATCGCAAGGTTCGACAAAACATTTGATTATTTACACTTTAGTCCCTGAACTTTGGATTTGCTTCATTTCAACCATTTTTTTACTTGTAATCTTGTTCTATCTTCTAATTTTGTCCACTTAAATCCTTAGCATCTTCGATCTTCATTTCTTCGTCGGTCTCATCTATGGATTGTTTGCAATTTAATCCCCAAATTTTGAATTTCGTCCTTTTCACCATTTTTGCATTCTTTTCTCAAATTCTCCGTCAAATATTGAGTTTTATCTACAAACTGTAATATAACACAAGTTAGTAGTATTTTATCAAAAGAATAGAAAATGTCATCTTTTAGGACCTAGAATAAGTTTATATACTACACTTATCAAAATGGCTATCCTACTTCCTTTTTCACTAACACGCTCTCTTATACCACTCACAGACCAAAATAAGTATGCTACAGATCTCAACCTTCTATGCATACAAACATGTTACACAAATGAATAAGATCATTCCAATTCATACAATTACATTTTCAAATAGATTGAAAGTGAAACATATAACATTGCAACAAAATTAAATGATCATACATACCAAAAGGATTTCACATAGATGCAAATGCAATAACTAGGTTTACTCTCAATAAATTTCACTATGGTCATTACTCGATCCAATAACCACATTTGCATTGCGTCTTCTTTCCTCCTATTATCCTTCCTAGAATAGTCTCTTTCAGCATATTCAAATCACCTCTTACCTTTTTACATTTTCCTTAGATCTACATATGCCAAGAATAGCAAACAATAATCAACAAGCAAACCACAAACCCAATTCACGTAGAATAGACAAACAAACTTTTTTAAAGTCACATGCAATTCTAACAGTGTAGAAAATATTTAGCAACAAATTCACAAAGAATTTAAGATAAGGATTAACAAATAATTCCTAGGTTTAATAATAGGCAATCGTTACCCCCACACAGTAACCCCAAAAATTAATGCCACCCCATATGATGACTTTTAATGTGAAAATTAATTGACTTCCTAAAAAATAGTCTCAACTACAATAATAACGATACAAAGTTGACCATATCTATAGATTTGTAAACTAGAAGAGATACAATTCACTACTTTAAGACATACATTATTCACCTTAAAGTTTTCAGTAGTCACGACAATACAAAAAGATACCGACACTTGAAAGTCTAACGGCAAAATTGTCAAAATTTTACCATATCACTCGAAAATGAAATGGACATCGCCTTAGTTGCCACTGGAAACATTATGTCTGAAGATTTCATTGCTACAAAATGTCCCACATATCACTATCGGCGCTTTGTGAGTACTTTACATACTGGCTCTGGTGCTAGCACTACCATCCCTGGATCGTCTCTACTTGCATAGTGCAAAACTGTGCTTAGCTTCCTCTTCCTACATCTGGTTTCACAGAAAATGAAGAAACAGATCTAGCAAAAATGAAAAAAAAAAAAAAAGTGGATAGCCTTTTCCCCTTTTTCTGTCTAACTTCAGCTTCATATTAGATTGATTTTTAGCCCTTTTTGTCCTATTAAATCATAGATTTCTCATCACCACGTGCTCTAATACCACTTGTTATGTGTAAGCTTTGAAAAATCATGAATTTGGGCTCAGAAAAATCATCAAACGAACACTACCCGACTTCGACTCGACCCATACCCTTCCTTCATCTTGATTACCTCAAGTTTTCTCACCCATAAAGGATAACGGTGGTGGTGACTACTATATAGAAGAAATGATGAAGAAAAAATGGTTAAGTCTTTCAAGAAATCACCATAAACTGGTTACCCCCTTCATTCTTCTCTCTGTAGCACAAATTTACCCCATCACAACTAAGGGAAATAGTCATATATAAAGGATTGATTTAGGTCACCACTTAGGCTAAATCTCATTAAATAGGCTGTCACGTACATACCAATAAATGGGCAATCATAACCACCCAAAAGTGTTGGCTGTTTTCAGATCGAGCCAAGTTTATGTTGTCAATAAATCA